TTTTTTTTTTTTTTTTTTTTTTTTTTTTTTTTTTTTTTTTTTTTTTTGCAGGCTTTTCATATGTGAGGTCTTGCACTGATATCTTTCATTCATCTTGAGTTTATGTCTGTACACCGTGAGACATGGGGCCCACTGTTTTTCTTCTGCAGCTGGCTAGTCATTTATGCCAGCACTATCTGTTGAAAGGAGGGAGTCCTTTCTCTAAAGCTTATTTTTGTGGATTTTGTTGAAGATCAGATGGTGTTAGGGGTGAGGGTTTACGTCTGGGCCCTCTAATCTGTTCCACTGCTCTGTGTGGAATGGGGTCCCTAGCTTTTCAATGAAATTTAACATCGGGAAGTGTGACACAACCGAGGTAGTTTGGATTTCTCAGGATTGTTTTGGAAATTCAGTGTGTTTTGTGGTCCACATGAATTTTAGCATTGGGTATTTACATCGTTTTTTAAAAGGTTGGTCTTACAGTAAAGGTATACAATGTGGGGAGTTGGAGTGGGGCATTTTGATTAATGCAGACACAGAGGAATGATAAAATCAGGATATTTAGAGGCTCTATTATCAGAAACAGTTGTTAATTTCTTTGCGGTGAAAACATTTGGAATCTCCCAGATTTTGTGAAAAGGGTGTGATGTTGTGTTAACCTCTGGTCACTTGACTGTGGAACAGTGAGGAACAATTCATTCCTCTCATCTAAGTGTAACTTTGTGCCTATTTCTGATCTCTGCCCATCTTTCTTCTTCCCTCCAACCTTTAGTAACTATTATTGTGCTTTCTAGACCTGTGCAGTGAAGCCTTTTATTTTGGATTCTAAATTAGTTTTTCTTTTTCTCCCTGTCTTAGGTCATATACCATGATGTCCTCCAGGTTCAACAGTGTGGCTCCAAATGATGAAATTTCATTCTGGTTTTCTGGTTGAAGATGATTCTGTTTGTGTACATCCACCAAGTATCCCTTCATCTGCGGTTGGGCAGGTAAGTCTATTCTTTGTCTTGGCAATTGTGAATAGTGCTGCAGTCCACATAGGATGGCAGATGCCTCTTGCATGGACTGAAATTTTGCCCTGAAAATATATTTAGTAGTACGCTTGTTAGATGAAGTGGTAGGTATAGGTTAAACCTTTGGAGGAACCTCCCACTGGTTTCTGTAGTATGTATACTGATTAACGTTCTTACCAAATGAGTTCCTCTGTGGAAATTTACACCAGCATTTGTGTCTCTTTTAATGTATTTTATTGCTTTGATAACATCCATGTGAATTATAGTGAGATGATGTGTGTTGTTCTGATTTACATTGTTCTCATGATTTGTGATGTTATTTATCTAAGTTTTTAAAATTTGTTTGCAATGTTACGTCTTCTTTGCAGAAATGTCTGTTTAGGTTCTTTGGCCCCATTTTGTTTAGTTATTAGTTTCTCTTTTGTGTTTTTGCTAGTAAGTAGTGTTTGTTGCTTAGATATTTTGAAGACAACCTTTCATCAGATGTAGGTTTGCCAAATCCTTTCTTGTAAACGTGAGGAAAATTTTTTATTTTATTTATGGATTTTTTTAAAGATCTGCTTGGGCACAAACTCTTCTAACGTATGATGCAGTCCCATGTGTGTTTGTTTTCTTGTTGTCCTTTGTTGTAGGTGACTGATGAGGAAAAACAGAATCCTGACCAAAGTAGTCCATCACCTATGAGTTTTTCCCCCTGTATTTTGTATTTTGTTTTGACATACTGTGAGCACAGATCCACATTGATCTAAATATACCCACACCGTATGTCTTCTCATTGGAAGAGTTTGATGCATTCAACTTTTGTTTATGAGTCTCTATTCATTTTGAGTTAAACCTTGGTCTTTTTACACAATAGGGGTTCTGTTTTACTTACGTAGGGTTATCCAGTTTTCAAATCCATTTGCTAAACAGATTTCCTCTTCTTCGTTGTGTCTTTCAGTGTTCTTTTACAGAACGTGTACACTACCTAGGAATTTGGGTTTGTGATTGAGCTCCCTCATTCTGTCTGTTGGTCTGGGTTTCTTGGTTAGTGCCAGTCATCTATTGTTTGGATAACTGGCTTTTCAATGTAATTTCAAATGGAGGACAGTGATGCATTCCATGTACTTTGTATTTTCAGGGTTGCTTTGAAATTCAAGGTGTTTCATGGTTCCATGTAAATTTTAACGTCATTGGTATCCTTTTTTTTTTTTTTTTTAAAAAGATTACCCTAGAGTATATGTATATAACTAGAAGATACAGGGATCATTTTGATATGGGTACACCTAGCATATTGATCAAATCACAATATTTAGCATCTGTGAAGTCCTCTAGTTATTATTTGTCTGTGGAGATGATACTCAGAATCCTTTCCAGCTATTTGGAAAATTCACTACAATATTAACCCTGGTCACCCTGCTATAGAAGAGAAGGTAAGTGTAACTTTGTACCCATTACCAATCCCTGCCTAGGCCCCCCTTCCCCACAGCCTCTGGCAACCACTGTTGAACTTTCTACCTCTGTGAGGTCAAGTGTTTTAGATTCGACATGTATGAGATCATGCAGTATATGCCTTTCTCTGCCTGGCTTATTTCATTTAACATAATGTTCCTCAGGTTTTTCCATGTGGTTGCAAGTGACGAGATTTCACCCATTTCTATGATTGAAGAATATTCTACTCTGGATGTATATTGCAATTTCCTCATGCCTTCATCAATGGATGGACAGGTAGGTGCATTTCCTATCTTGGCTATCGTGAGTACTGCAGTATGGAGGGCAAAGCAGGTATCTCTTCCACATAGGAATGGAATGATGGCTAGATGAAATGGCATTTTTACTTTGTTTGAGGCACTTCCAGCTGTTTTTCCTAGTGTGTGTAGACATTGACATTCCCATCAATAGTGTATGAGAAGAGTTTCCCCTTCTGAAAGTCTATACTAGTTGTTTCCATTGAAAAGTTTTATTTCTGTTTTAGGGAACATTCATTCTATGTGGATGGAAACTGTATCTCAGTGCAGTTTTCCTTGACATTCTTGTGAGGATTAGCACTTTTGAGAAACTTTTCTTTGCCCTGTGAGTCAGTTTCACACCTGCTTTGCAGACACGCCTATTCAGATCCTTCACCCAGACTTAGCTTGGGTGTTTGTTTTTGTTCCCCCCACATGGTAGTGTTAGTTTCTTGCACATATTATATAATGACCCCTTTCAAAGACAGCATTTTCCGTAGTTTTCTTTCAGTCTGTGAGGCATCTTCTCTTCTGTTCATTGTTTTCTTTTTGCAGCAGAAGATCTGATGTTTTCTGTAGTTCCACGTGTTTACATATTAGTGGTGACTTCGTGTGCAGTTAAAAACAGTGAAAAAGATTGCCAATCCATGGGATTGTCTATGGTTTTTTTAATTCTAATTTTTCTTTTTCTTTTTGTATTTCACATTTTGCAACTTGTGTGCATAGATTAGTCTTCTAAACTATGTGCTTACCATTTGTTTCCTGAGGGAAGTAAATGGTTTCAAGATTTGAGTTTAGGCCTTCAATGTAATTTACATCGATTTTTGTCCTATTTCACTGTTTTTCATGTGGTTATCCAGTTTGCTGAAAGTCATTTATTATTTTCCCATTGTGTCTTTTTGTGTTGTGTTTAAAAATGTGTTCAGTGTACATTCATTTGGGTGACATGTGGGACTCCCTCATTCTGTCCATTGGGTAACCTTTCTGTTTTTATGCCAGTGGCAGGTTGTTTGGATAAATAAAGGTTTTAGTTGCTTTATCATTATGCCCACTTAGTACCTTTAGTTTCTTGTATATGTTAGATAACAGTTCTTTTCGGATACATGATTTGCTATAATTTTATCCCAATATGTAGGGCACCTTTTCTTTGGGTTCATTGTTTTCTCCTTTATAAATTTTAAAATTGTCCTTTGGGAGCAGATGGAACTCTGAGCAAATTGTGCCCGGAGCTCAGAGTAGATGGAGCTGTGAGCAAGATGAAGCTCAGAGTAGATGGTGCTTAGAATAAGATGGAGCACCAAGCACATGGTGCTCAGGGCAAGATAGAGCTTCAGTGATTGTAGCTCAGAACAGAAGGAGCATACAGAAGATGTTGCTCCCAGTAAGATGGAGTTCCAAGCAGATGGTGCTCAGAGCAAGCTGGAGCTCCAAGCAGATGGTGCTCAGAGTAAGATGGACCTAAGAGTGATTAGAACTCTGAGAAAGATAATGCTCTCACCTGATGGTGAGTAGAGAGAGATAGAGCTCAGCGTGATTGCTCTGAGAGATTGGAGCTCTGAGCGGATGGTGCTCTGAGCAAGATGGAGCTCAGGGTGATTGCCCTGAGAGATTGGAGCTCTGAGCAGATGGTGCTCGGAGGAAGGTGGAGCTCAGGGTGATTGCCCTGAGAGATCGGAGCTCTGAGCGGATGGTGCTCGGAGGAAGGTGGAGCTCAGGGTGATTGCCCTGAGAGATTGGAGCTCTGAGCGGATGGTGCTGAAGCAAGGTGGAGCTCAGGGTGATTGCCCTGAGAGATTGGAGCTCTGA